AAAGAACTAGAAAAATAAAGTACTTTTTCCTCACTGTACTATCCAAAGAAAGTACAGCATGCATTGGTACTGAGGTTGCATCAAATGAAATATGCTTATGATTATCCACCCCTCTGAATTTTAAAAGGTATTTTACTTATTAATAAAGAAAAAGAAACCCTTTACTTCCACTTAAACTCTGAACATGAAACGTGGAAGAAGTTGAAACTCATTTAGAAAGAATAACTATTTGCTGAAAACATTAGAACAGGTGATGTATAATCCAGTTCCAAATACAGACTATTGCAATGTGTCCAACTACAGTCATCTTAATGGCCAGAACAGTCTTAACTGGAATTGTCCCTAATCTTCATTTCTGAACTGTAAAATTACAATAATAATTATAGCACATATACACACACCCTCATGCTCCCAAGGTTTTAAAATAAATAGAAAAATCAAGAATCACAGTCAAAACTGTGATTTGATTTTTTAAATTTTCAATCAAAACTCTCCTTTTTAATTAGATTTCTTAAGTCCTGGTTGAATTCCAAAGGGAATTGAGGAGTAGAAGAACATATTCCTTACTCTATAATCACAACAGAAATATGTTTTGCAGGAACAAAGAAAACAGAGTCGATTCCCTGACAAAAAGAACCAGCTGAGTTTTTCCAAGTGAAAACGTGAACTTGCTTTCCTAAGTAGTCTCCCATACATAGTTGTACACCTGCAATAACAGCATGCCAGACTTACCTATTTTTTTAAATCAGGGCATGCCTATATAATCTTGAATCAACAAGAAAAGTTTTTCCCCCACCCTACACTTCCTCAACAGTGGCAAATATAAAGTAATCAAGGGTGTGTGCACTTTTATTGAAGTCACGTACTGTTGTTAAATTTGGGTTAAAACTTTTAAGTGCTTCATATGTTCTTTAAACCAGCTATGAAAGACTCCAAAAGACCTACCTTGTCTTGGGAATTGTTCAGCTAACTTCCTGAGACTTGTTAAGCTGTCAGCACCAAGCTGGCTTAAGATGCCCGGAAGCATTTCTGTGATCGGTTTAGCCTCTGCATGACCAGTAATTGCAAAAGTGTTGGCAGACAGGGAAGCTTGAACCTTGGGGTTGTTGAAGTGAATAACTGTTCCATCATCTTTTATCATGTTCACCTGTTTAAATATAGTAATAACATTTACCAAAGTGTTGCAGCATCTTGTTGAATGAGTGTGATCATTAAAATCCAGATTTAAAGTATTAAAATATAAAAAATTACAAAGCTACCACTCCTCTTAAAGAATAACATAACCATGACAAAAGCACCTGGAATTAATACCACCTAAACTGGAAGTAAATATGAGTTAATGGTAAAATATGGGCTCATACATACTATATGATGAGGCAGAATTTAACAGCTATGGTTCCTTCATAAAATGAACTTACCTGAATACTAATAAATACATAAGGAGTATATGTTGTAATGCAGTTTATGTGTATTTTTAACAAAAGCAAAAAAATACACATAGATTATTAGACCGCAAGGTATAAACGTGTTAACGTGAAGAACGTCTGGGGAGGGAAACCCCCCAGCAAACCAACCAAACCCTTCAGCTCTGTGGTGACTCTTCACAGGCTCAAAAAACTCCAACAGCAAAGCCCAGCCACACCACTTTAAGCCACTGCCTTTCACAGGTACCTGTGACACCTATCAGGAAATTCCAGTAATTCCATGATGACTCTTATAAAACTAAGGACATCATACAGTGATTCTGCTCTCTTCTTCTTTCCTGGTCTTCTGAATCACCAAGAATTAAGATTTATGGCCAGTGTAGTGCCCTGCTTTGCACCTTTTGTCAGTTTATATTGGCATATTTGTATGGGTTTACGTTGTGTTTTTTAACTTAATGGCAGACAGCATGGACAGTTAAAAAGGTTTTTCTTCTGGGCATGGCTAAACTACGGTTATGTGGAAAATAATTTTGTCTGACCAAAGGAGGAAAGTCCTACCCATCCAACACAACAGTGGTATTAAACTCATGTGACAAAATTAATAAGCAAGGTTTTTAGCAGAAATTACAGGGAGAAATAAGAGATTTAAAATATAAAAACATTCAAGTTCTCAATCCCCACACAGCAGAAGAGGATCAAAATATGTTTTGAACAGGAAAACCAGGTGTGTTGCTTTCCTGCAAAACTAAACAATGTCCTGTCCTTTGCACATAAGGAAATGGTAAAGGCTTCAAGCACAGTCATCCTGTTACTTAAAAACCTTTTAAAGCCACACAGATGACTAACTCATGCTTGACTCAACATTGCTATCCTCTCCAAACTCTTTTACACAAAGCTTACCAAGGTCAACTTGTGTTCACCTGAACACAACATACTGCAATTCTGTCTCTAGCTATCAAGGCAGAAACATTTTGCACTGTCTTCACATCAAGACATTTAAAATCCTTAATAACTGTGTCTAAGTAAAGATCTTGAGATTTGTGTGAAAAAGGAAACCGAAACACACACCCAGAACTGTGTACTCTTTGGGTTCACATGGCTCAGTATATACACACTGAGCTTAAGAAAACAGAGAAATAAGTGCTTATGCAAGAGAGGACTGAAAATCTACAGGCAAAACCAGGCTGCTACAGTGAAATCTGCATTTGCCTTTGGAAGAGAGAATGCACTGTGTGACCTCTGCAGGCACCTTGCAATCCTGCTTAAATTAATTAATCACAGATTAAATACTGTGCTTCTTTAACCAAGCACTACAGTAATACTGAGTTCATGATGGAGGAAAACCTCCTCCTCCCATGTATGAGTGTCACTCCCTACAGTGTTATGGAAAACATGTTTCATTCATACCTGTCAATTAGAGGTATTCAAGGAACATCTGACACCCTCACATTCCCACTTACATTAGCACAGAAGCTGCTTCTGTAGGGTCTCTGCAGTGTTTTAAGAAACATCATCTCCTGTAACTACTGCAAACAATTCCAGCAACTTTTGTAAAGTAGTAAAGGATCCTAATTTTAATAATATGGACTCAAGTTCTTACTCCAGGTATTTCTAAACTTTTCTTTATATTCTACACCACACAACTCTTGCCCTGGATGTGCCTGCACAGAACACGTGCACTTATTGCTCTTCTGAGTAGGGAATCAGGTTATAAAAGTCAAGAACAAAGAGAAGTTTTGTTCTGTGATGACTGCAAGACACACATGCACAACACATAGCTTACTACCTCCTGTAACCACTATGTGGCCAGCAGAACCTTCTCCCTTCTTTCTCCAGGTACATACACGCATTTCATTTCACCAAGACAACAATCAATCAAATAACTTTGTCTATCAATAAACAGACCTGTAAGTTTTTGCTTGGAAGCCTGTTGTAAAAACAAAAGCAAAACCCACCACATGACCCCCAAAACAATACAGTGAATTTAATTTCAAACAGGAAACACTTATCACTATACCTCTTCAATGCCAGCAATGTTATTTACTGCCAGTTTCTTGAGGGAACTCTGAAGTTTTTTGTCATCAGCTGTAGCTGTTCTGTGCACCACCTTCTTCTTTCTGCGAGCTGTTCCCTGGGAAACAATCAAGAGACAACAGTCAGCTATGCCCAAAATTTCTCAACACTAATTGTGAAAGTCCTACCACAGTCCGAGCAACATCTTCCAAGTTATGAGATGCCTCTATAGTCCTATTTCCCTTTACCTACAGCTTTAGCCATCAGTCTCAATTTTAAGGTTTTTCTTAAATGTAAAGGACCAAAAGACACCAAATAGCAGCAGTATTTTCCCTTCCTACAAGCCAGATTACAAAGATACTATTTACTACTGAGCAAAATATAAGAAATTTTCCCCAAGAACTCTATTTTTTCCAGGACGAAGCACAAATACAGTGATTTAACAGCAATTTTGGAATTTCTACTTTGCAAAATTCTGTGGAAGTTTGGCAGAGGATGAGGCCCCCGCACTGAACAAACTCCATGCCTTTTTTTTGGTCAGATTAACTACCTGCTGGCTCAGAGACAAACAAAGCTCAATGCAGAGTTAGTGCCTGGAGTGGACATTGAAAATCCCCAACAGGAAGAAGGAAAAGGCAGAACTGGAACACCCAATAGGTGAGCTCAGCTGGAGCTTCCACAGGTCACAACAAGTCACTGAATTAACAGAACTCTTACACCCTGGAAACTGCTAATCCAGCAGTTGGGAACTGAAAGAAACTTGCATTTCAGGTAGAAGCACCATGATACAGATCACACAAAAAACATATCTGTCAAGTCTCAGAAATATAGTTTTTCCCCTTCTGTGAACTATAGCCTATGTTTTGAAAAGCATCTCTGGGGGGTTTCTTACCTTTCCTCCTATTCGGACCTGTGCTTGAAGCTTGGCCAGTTTTTCTTGGTTCATAGTGATGTGTCTGAAAAATAACAAGAAGATCCAAAACCCAAGTTAACAATCAAAATAGTAAGAAAAAAAAATGTCACAGTCCATTTTCAAAGCACTCCTAAGACTGCGGTGGGTTTTCGAAACTTACAGAACACTACCCAAAACACTGAGTCCAACAAAAACACACAAACAAAGCTTTAAAACCTAAATAATCTGAAGTGGTCCTGTAGTAGGCCATTTAGCTGAAGTGTCTGTGACACAATAAGACAAATCAACAAGACACTTCATTCCCCATCAGTAAATTCCCAGAGTGCCAATTTACTTTCGGAAGCACTGAACTGAACTCAAACCAGACCCAAACCAGCACAACTGCTTCTGGGAAACACCCTTATCTTTAAGAGAGTCCAGGGAGAGATTCATCACTAAACTACTTCGAATACTACTTCCATATAATGAATCTCTGATACTTGTAACTAATAAGTGAGCTCTGAACCCCGTGAGTTCAGATCTGGACGGATTTCCCATAGGAACCTCTGGAAGCCCTGCATCCCATTCAATGACTGGGAAGTCAGTCCAGTGGCTTCTTCCACGGGTCAAGTGGGACCTTTAAAGACTGCAAACCCTGAAAAAAACCCGTAATGGATGGGAAAACACCTCCAGCCTTCCAGCACAAGGAACGCATTCCGCTGCTGTGCCCCAGCAAGCGACCAGAGATCCCGGGAATGACGGGGAAGCCCCCTCCGCGTGTGCTTTGTGCCGGAGAGAGGGATCAGCACCGGCGGGAGAAGAG